TCCTTCCCCCCCCGCCTCAGGGTGCCCCAAAGGCTGGGGGGGGTCCTGAGGGGGCAGGGGGGGGCCCTGCCTGAGGGGGGCAGGCGGAGCTGGGTGCAGGGAGGAGCAGGGGGGCGATGGGACAAGGGGAAGGTGCCCCCCCCCCGTTGTGCCATCACCCCCCTGGGGCTGCTGAAGCCTCGGGCTGGGGGGGGCACAGGGACAAAGCTCAGAATTTGGTGTCCTTGAGCTGTTGGCGACTGGTCTGGAAGGGAGAGAGCAAGGGGGGGCATTGGTGACGGGGAGCAGCCCCCGGGGCAGGGATGGGGGGGGTCAGGTCCTTACCTTGCCCTTGGGGGACTTGGCGGTGGCGATGCGGGGCGAGCGGCGGGCGCCGGCGCGGGGGGAGCCCTTGGGGGTGGCTTTGCGGGCGGCGGCGCGGCGCAGGAGGCTGCTCCCCAGCTTCTTGGGGGTGTTGAGGATGCTGAAGGCCAGGGACTGGCGCCTCTCGGCCTGCGGAGGGGGCACAGTGAGGGGGGGTGTGGGGGGGTGTGGGGGGGTCACACACCCCCCCCCAGCCCTGCTGCTGGTGCTGCTCTCACCGGCTTGGGGGGCGCTGGTGGCTGGGTGCTGCGGCGGAGCTGGGCGCTGCGGCGCTGCGGGGTCTGGGCCCTTGGGAAGCACGTGGTGGGCTTCTTGGACTGTGGGAACGGGGGAAAGGGGATGGCACCGGGAGAGGGAGCAGAGCCCGGAGCTGGCTCCTGCCCAGGGATTCCAGCACCGTTCCCTGCGCCCGAGCCCGTCCAGGGACATCCTGGGGACACCGAGAACCCCGGAGCGGTTCGGGATGAAGGGAGCTTAGAGCCCATCCAGTCCCGACCCCTGCCCCGGGCAGGGACCCCTTCCATAGAGCAGCTTGCTCCAAGCCCCTGTGTCCAACCTGGCCTTGAGCACTGCCAGGGATGGGGCAGCCACAGCTTCTCTGGGCACCCTGTGCCAGCGCCTCAGCACCCTCCCAGGGAAGAGCTTCTGCCTAAGAGCTCAGCTCAGTCTCCCCTGGGGCAGGTTCAAGCCATTCCCCTTGGCCTGGCCCTACAGGCCCTTGTCCCAAGCCCCTCTCCCAGCATCCAGCACAGGAGCTCTGTAGGTTCTCAACCCGGGCAGCCAAAGCCCTCAGGGCCATGGGTCAGTGGTGGCCTTGGCAGTGCTGGGGAGCGGTTGCACTGCGTGATCTCAAAGGCCCTTCCCCACCCGCCGGGGTTCTGTGTTCTATGGCTCTTATGTTCCATGTTCTACGCTCTATGTTTCACACTCTATGCTCTATGTTTCATGTTCTTTGGTTCCATGTTTCATGTTCCATGCTCTATGTTCTATGTTTCATGTTCTGTCTCAATGTTCTATGGCTCCATGTTCTATATTTCATATTCTGTGCTCTGTTTCATGTTCTATGCTCTATGTTATACAGCTCTATAGCTCTTATGTTTCATGTTCTATGCTCTGTATCTCCCATGTTCTATGGCTCATTCTCTATGTTTCATGCTCTACGTTCTGTTTCACGCTCTATGCTCTGTGTTCTCTGTTCCATGCTCTATGTTCTATGTTTCATGCTCTATGCTGTGTTCTGTTTCATGCTCTATGCTGTGTTGTTTCATGCTCTATGCTGTGTTCTGTTTCATGCTCTATGCCCTGTGTTCTGTTTCATGCTCTATGCTCTATGTTCTATGTTTCATGCTCTACGCCCTGTGTTCTGTTTCACACTCTACGCCCTGTGTTCTGTTTCATGCTCTATGCCCTGTGTTCTGTTTCATGCTCTATGTTCCATGCTCTATGCCCTTTGTTCTGTTTCATGCTCTATGTTCTATGTTTCATGCTCTATGCTGTGTTCTGTTTCACACTCTATGCTCTATGTTCTATGTTTCATGCTCTATGCTGTGTTCTGTTTCATGCTCTATGCCCTGTGTTCTGTTTCATGCTCTATGTTCTATGTTTCATGCTCTATGCTCTATGTTCTATGTTTCATGCTCTACGCCCTGTGTTCTGTTTCACACTCTATGCTCTATGTTCTGTTTCACACTCTACGCCCTGTGCTCTGTTTCACACTCTACGCCCTGTGTTCTGTTTCATGCTCTATGCCCTGTGTTCTGTTTCATGCTCTATGTTCCATGCTCTATGCCCTTTGTTCTGTTTCATGCTCTATGTTCTATGTTTCATGCTCTATGCTGTGTTCTGTTTCATGCTCTATGCTCTATGTTCTATGTTTCATGCTCTATGCTGTGTTCTGTTTCATGCTCTATGCCCTGTGTTCTGTTTCATGCTCTATGTTCTATGTTTCATGCTCTATGCCCTGTGTTCTGTTTCATGCTCTATGTTCTATGTTTCATGCTCTATGCCCTGTGTTCTGTTTCATGCTCTATGTTCTATGTTTCACACTCTACGCCCTGTGTTCTGTTCCATGCTCTATGCCCTGTGTTCTGTTTCATGCTCTATGCTCTATGTTCTATGTTTCATGCTCTATGCCCTGTGTTCTGTTCCATGCTCTATGCCCTGTGTTCTGTTTCATGCTCTATGCTCTATGTTCTATGTTTCATGCTCTATGCTGTGTTCTGTTTCATGCTCTATGCCCTGTGTTCTCCCCTGACCCCCCTGTGCTCACCTCGGGGGTGTCTGGGCCCTGGTGGGACTCATCGGAGGCCCTCTTGCGCTGCTGGCGGGTGGTGATGCCGGGCCAGGCCGCGCTGAGGCTGCTGCGCGGGGCGGGGGGGCCCTGTGGGGGCTGCATGCTGGCGCGGCGCAGCGTCTCCCGCGGGTCCCCCGTCTTCATCTCCTCGTCCGTGATGGTCGCCAGCGAGTTGGAGGACTGGGGGGGACACGACACAAGGAAGGTGTTACCAAGGCCCCCCCCGCCCCATGGCTGCCCCCCACCCGCCGAGCGCCGTACCCTGCTCTCCAGGGGGTAGCAGGTCTTGAGGTGGGGCGGGCAGGCGCGGTTGCGCTGCTGCAGCTCCGCGATGCGGTTCCAGTCTTCCAGCTGCTCGGGCTCATCCTGGCACGTGCCAAGGTAGAGGCTGCTGCGGCCTGAACGCGAAGCAAGGCAGGGTCAAGGGGGGGTTCCCGGCACCCCAAGCGAAGGCAGAGCTCCCCACCCCACCCCATAGCCACGCACCGAGGCTGGAGCTGCTGCCCCCCTGCATGCGGCGCAGGGAGCTGCGCGTGACCGGGCGGTACCCGGGGAGCCCCAGGAGCGCGGCGTGGGCAGGGGGGTCCCGCGGGGAGGAGGCGTCCGGCGGGAGCAGGGACTCCTGGGACGGGAAACTGGCGAGGGAGCGCGAGGAGCCCGAGCGCAGGCGGCTCCGGGCCGGGGCGGCGCTGGGCTGAGCCCCGGGGAGGCTGCAGAAGGAGACGTCGGAGCCGTCCGGTTCCTCGGGCTTGGCTTGTTTCTGTGGGGGGAGAGCACGGGACGGGGGGGGATGAAGGGGCCTTGAAGCCCATCCAGCTCCCACAGCTGCCCCGGGCAGGGACCCCTTCCATAGAGCAGCTTGCTCCAAGCCCCTGTGTCCAACCTGGCCTTGAACACTGCCAGGGATGGGGCAGCCACAGCTTCTCTGGGCACCCTGTGCCAGCGCCTCAGCACCCTCCCAGGGAAGAGCTTCTGCCTAAGAGCTCAGCTCAGTCTCCCCTCGGGCAGGTTAAAGCCATTCCCCCTGGCCTGGCCCTACATCCCTTGTCCCAAGCCCCTCTCCAGGTTCCCTGCAGCCCCTTCAGGCACTGGAGCTGCTCTCAGGTCTCCCCAGAGCACAGCAGAGGGGCAGGATCCCCTCCCTGAGCTGCTGCTCACGCTCTGGGGGTGCACCCAGCACAGGGGGGGCTCTGGGCTCCAGCGCTCCCTGAAGCCGGGTCACGGTGACCCCGAGCGCGGCTCACTTTGGTCATGGTGATGCTGATGGTGGTGCGGCGCCGCGCGGAGCGGGTCTGGCAGCCGGAGTCGAGCGAGAGGTCCCCGCAGGAGCCGGCGCTGGAGCTGCGCTGGGCCCGCGTGCGGCTCGGCAGGGGGGTGAAGTAAAGGCTCTCCAGGGACTCCACCTTGCGCGGGAGCCGCCGCGCCGCCGGTGACTCCTCCGCGCCCGCAGCCAGCACCGAGTCCTCGGAGCGGGAGCGCGCGGCCTCCCTGCAGGACAGGGCACGGGTCAGGGAGCCCGGCGGCGCAGGATGGGCTCCGGCGAGGCGCGGGGCCGGTACCTGCGGGTGTGGAGGGACCCAGCTTCCTCGAGGCTGAGGTCCAGGCTGTCGGTGCTGATGTCGGCGGGGTTCTGGTGGATCAGCTCCTGGCCCTTCAGCGGGGCCTTGGACACCTGGATCTTGCCGAGCTCCCGGAGCTGCTGGTTGGCAAATTCCACCTGGATGGGAAGCAGGGAGGGATGGATCCTCCGAGGGAGATGGCAATGGGGGGAGACGGGGGGAGAAGGAGGGAGGGAGAAGCAGGGAGGGAGAAGCAGGGAGGGAGAAGCAGGGAGGGAGAAGGAGGGAGGGAGAAGCAGGGAGGGAGAAGCAGGGAGGGAGAAGCAGGGAGGGAGAAGGAGGGAGGGAGAAGGAGGGAGGGAGAAGGAGGGAGGGAGAAGGAGGGAGGGAGAAGGAGGGAGGGAGAAGCAGGGAGGGAGAAGCAGGGAGGGAGAAGGAGGGAGGGAGAAGGAGGGAGGGAGAAGGAGGGAGGGAGAAGGAGGGAGGGAGAAGGAGGGAGGGAGAAGCAGGGAGGGAGAAGCAGGGAGGGAGAAGGAGGGAGGGAGAAGCAGGGAGGGAGAAGCAGGGAGGGAGAAGCAGGGAGGGAGAAGCAGGGAGGGAGAAGGAGGGAGGGAGAAGGAGGGAGGGAGAAGGAGGGAGGGAGAAGGAGGGAGGGAGAAGGAGGGAGGGAGAAGCAGGGAGGGAGAAGCAGGGAGGGAGAAGGAGGGAGGGAGAAGCAGGGAGGGAGAAGCAGGGAGGGAGAAGCAGGGAGGGAGAAGCAGGGAGGGAGAAGGAGGGAGGGAGAAGGAGGGAGGGAGGAGCAGGGAGGGAGGAGCAGGGAGGGAGAAGGAAGAAGCCCCTCTGTGCTGCCCCCACCTGAGCCTCCAGGCTGTGGACCTGGCTGGTGAGGTTCCTGCAGCTGAGCTCCGACTCCTTGGCCTGCAGCACGCTCTGCTGCAGCTCCTTGGCCAAGCGCTCCGCCTCGGCCCGGAGCTCCCTGTTCTCCTTCTGGAGCTGCTCCATGGCCTTCAGCTTCTCCGCCAGGTCCTGGTTCTGCTGCTTCTTCGCATCGTAGTGAGTTTTTGCCTTCTCCATCTACAAGGGTGAGGAAAGAAACCCATCAGTCTCTCCATGGACCAGGACGGGGAGGGATGGGGAAGGATGGATGATAGGACCATACTTGGCCTTTGTAGTGCTCGGCTGCCTGCTCCTTCTGCGCGAGCTGCTCCTGCAGCTCTGCCACCCTCTCCTGCTGCCGCGTGGCCTCTGCCTGCAGCTCCCCCTCCAGCACCTGTGGGCAGCGAGGATGCGGGCTCAGAGACCCCCCCGAGCCCCCCTCTCTGCCCAGCGCAGAGCTCAGCCCCAGGCCTTCGCTCCCCATTCACCTTCACTCTCTGCTGGTGGCTCCGCGCGGTCTTCTCGTGCTGAGTCAGCTTCTTACTGAGCTCCTCCACCTGGGGGAACACCTTGGGTTAAACCAGCTCCAGGGACGAGATTCCCCCCTCTGGGTCCCAGCCACGAGGCCTCTGTGGGGACGCTTGTGCTGGGACTGTGGGGGAAAATGGGACTTTTCCAACACCACTGCCATAGCCAGCCCCACGCCACCGCTGAGGTCGGTGCTGCTGGGAGGCATCGCACCTCCGGCCACATCCACCACATCTGGCCTCCCCCTGCCTCCAGCCATCCCCACCAGCTGGGCAAGGAGCTGGATGATGGTTAAAGACGGGGGGGGAAAGGGATGTATGGGAGGAATGGGATCTCCTGGCTCCCCCTAAACCCCATCTGCCTGTGGAGGTATCACAGGAGCAGTGGTCCCCTACGGGTCACGCTGGGAGGTGCCGAGCTGCAGGCAGCAGGTCTGGGACGAAGGCAAAGACCTGGAGCTGCATCCCCACCACAAGCACAGCACGAGGGGACCGGGAACGCCACTGGGAAGCAGCCAAAGCCGGGCACCATCGCCCACGTTACCTGCTTGGCTTGATCCTTCCGAACCGCCTCCAGCTGCTCCACCTGCGGGCACAAAGCGCGGTGAGCGTGGGGAGCGTGCCCCGGCGCCAGCCCCCGGGAGGATGCAGGGATGCGCGGGAGCCCCTTACCTGCGCCGCCAGCCTCTGCCTGTCCTCCAGCAGCTTCCTCCTCTCCTCCAGCGCCGCCGCTCTGCTGCTCTCCTGCTCCTTGCCCACGGCCTCCAGCTTCCGCGCCGCCTCCTGCGCCTCCCGCCGGCTCCCGGCCACCAGCTCCTCGGACGCGGCCCGCAGCCGCTCCAGCTCCCGCCCGTGCCGCTCCTGCGCCTGCCCCAGCTCCGCCTGCAGCCGCTGCACGGCGCGGTCCTGCTCGGCCGCCCGCTCCCGCAGCGCCGCCAGCTCTGCCTGCAGCGTGCCCAGGGCCTGGCCGCGCTGCTCCAGCTCCTGCCGGTGCTGGCTCTCCAGGGCGCCGCGCTCCGCCTGCAGCTGCTGGCACAGGAGCTTGAGCGGCGGCAGCTCCGCGGCCAGGCCCTGCGCGGCGCCCAGCTCCTGCTGCAGCGCGGCCACGAGCTGCTCCTGCTGCATGCGCTCGTCCCGGCAGCCCTGCAGCTCCTGGCGCAGCTCCTCCTCGCGCTCGCCCAGGCTCTGCCGCTCCCTCCTGAGCGCCTCGAGGGCCGCACGCTGCTTGTCCATCTCCTCCTGGCAGCGCTGCACCTCCACCTTCATGAGCGAGCAGCGCTCGGCCGCGCGCGAGGCCGCCGTGGCCATCTCGGCCTGCAGCACCCGCAGCCGCTCCTCCAGCTTCTTGCTCTTCTCCGACTCGGCCAGCGCCAGGCGCTTCAGCTCCTTGCTCTCCCCTTCCTTCTCGCCCGCCTGCCGGCGCAGGACGGACGCCTCGTGCTCCAGGCTCCCGACGAGGCCGCTCTTCCTCTCCAGCTCCTGCACGCACTGCGCGAGCTGCTCCTTCCAGCCCTCCTCCGCGGCGCGCAGAGCCGCCAGCTCCTTCTCGTGCGCCGCCACGGTGCCGCGGCTCTGCAGCAGCTCCCGGCCCTTCTCCTGCAGCTCCTTGCGCAGCGCCTCCGCGCTCCCCTCCTGCAGCGCCTGCGCCGCCCTCGCGGCTTCCAGCAGCTCCTGCAGCTCCGACGCCTGCTCCCGGTGCCGAGCCCCTTCCCTGCGCGAGGCCTCGAGCTCCGCACGTGCTGCGGCCGCGCTCTCCTGCAGCTCCCGGCAGCGCCGCTCCAGCTCCTCCACCTGCGCGCGCAGCTCCCGCTCCGAGCCTTTGGCGCCCGCAGCGCTGTCCCCATCCACAGCGCGGCTGCGGGCGGCCTCCTGCAGCTCCCCTTGGAGCCTGCTGACCGTGTCCCGCAGCTCCCGCAGCTCCTCCGCCTGCGCGGCCTTGTCCCGGCGCAGCTCCTCCAGCAGCCCCTGCTGCTCCTGCAGCCGCTCCCGCGCCCGCGCCAGCTCGTCGCGGTGCCGGGCGCGCTCCACGCGCTGCTCGTTGAGGCTGTTCTGCAGCTGCGCCTCCAGCTCGGCCTTGCGGGCGCGCTCGGCCCCGCTCTCGGCCCGGCCGCGCTCCAGCTCCTGCCGCAGGCGCGCGGCCTCCTCGTCGCGGCTGCCCAGCTCCCGCAGCGCCTCCTCGAGCCGGGCGCGCAGCACCGAGCCCTCCCCGCGCAGCCGCTGCGCCTCGGCCTCCGCCTCCTGCTCCCGCTGCCGCCCGCCCGCCGCCGCCCGCCGCAGCTCGGCCGCGGCGCCTTCCAGCTCCTCGCGGCGCAGCCGCTCCCGGGACAGCTCCTGCTCCGCCCGCTCCTGCAGGCAGCGCAGCTCGGCCCTCAGCCGCTGCTCCTCGCCCTCCTTCTCCTGGGCCCACGTGCGGGCGCTCGCCAGCTCGGCCTCGAGGGCGGCCACGCGCTCCCGGTGCTGCGCCTGCAGCGCCGCCACCTCCTCCTGCCGGGCCCGCAGCTCCCGCTCCTCGTCCTCCCGTCGGGCCGCGGGGGGCGGCTCTGCGGGCTCCGGCTGCAGGCGCTGCCTCTCGGCCTCCAGCTCGGCGATGCGGGCCAGGCTGCCCTCCAGGCTCTCGGCCGCCCTCCTCTTCTCATCCTCCAGGATGCCCTCGGTGTTGCGCAGGGATTCCTCCAGGAAGAGGAGCTGCTCCTGCAGGCGGCTGTTCTCCCGCGCCAGCCGCTCCCTCTCGGCCAGCCGCTGCTGGCTCTCCTTGAGCCGCGCCTCCAGCTCCTGCAGCTGGGCCTGCTGGGGGCCCAGCTCGACCATCCTCCCCTCCAGCTCCCGGATCCTGCGGCTCAGCTCTGCCCTCTCCCCATCCCAGGCGGCCTGCTCGGAATCCCGCGCCTGCAGCTGGCTGCTCAGGGAAGCGTTGGCCTCCTGCAGCTGCTGCAGGCTCTGCTCGTGCCGGGCGCCGGCGGCCTCCCGCTCCCGCAGCTCCCGCTCCAGCTCCTCCCGGCGCCGCTGGCCCTCGGCGAGGGAATCCTGCAGGCTGCTCACCAGGCTGCCAAGCTGCTGCTTCTCCTGCTCGAAGAGGCCCCGCTGCGACTGCAGGGCTGCTTCCTGCTGCTGCTTCTCCTCCTCCAGCCGCAGCACCGTGGCCTGCAGCTCGGCACCTTCCCTGGTGAGAGCGGACACCTCCTGCTTCAGCTCCTCCAGCTGCGGGGACACGAGGGGCAGGGAACAGGACACGCATGGGCTCACAGCGTGACTCACGCTGCTCTTCTCCAGGCAGCTTCCCACGGGAGCGCCGCAGGAGGCAGGGATGGCTCCGGCCGCAGCCGTACCTTCAGGACGTCCCCCAGCACCTCTCCCTTCTGGCTGCTGCACTCTCCCAGCTGGGCCACTTGATCCTCCAGCAGAGAGATCTTCCCTTGCAGGATCTCAATCTTCTCCTCGGAGCATTTCTGGGGACAGGAGGGGTGGGACTGAGGCTCGGCAGCGCGCGGATCCAGGCTGCCCAGGGCAGCACGGCCCAGGGAAGGGAGAGGCTTCCCACGGGATGCGCCTGCAGGACAGCAGCCGTGTCCCTGCCACCCGCCGGGCCCTGCCCACCTTGTCCTGCAGGGCTCCTCGCAGCTCCGTCTCCAGCTGCCCCTGCTTCTCCTGGGCCTGGGCCAGCGCCGCGTTGTGCTCCTCCGAGAGCTCGTTCAGGGCCTCCTGCAGCTGCACCAAGTGGCTGCCGATCTCCCGGAGCTGCCAAGGGCGAAACCCCCCATCCCAGAGGAAGGGCTGAGCGCGCCCGGCTCCCCTGGGGCAGCACCCGCACGGAGCCCAGGCCCGGGCGCACGCACCCTGCGGCACCACGCTCCCTTTGCAAGGAGCTGGGGCCGAGGCAGCTCGGGGTGAAGATCCCCACGGCAGAGCCCAGCCCAGCGCCCTGCACAGCCCCTGTGCACAGCCCCAGCCCCGGCCCCGGCCCCAGGGCAGGGCCCGGCAGCCGGTACCTTGAAGGAGAGGTCCCCGTTCTCCTCGGAGAGCTGGCTGATCTTCCGGTCCATCTGCCCCTTCTCAGTCTTCAGGTCCTGGCACTGCCTCAGCGCCTCGTGCAAGCGCGCCATGAGGCTGCAGGGGAGGGTGGGAGGGAGGGTGAGGACCCCAGCGGGGCTGATGCTGCTGGGCACGGCCCGGGACACCGAGGGGCCACGGTACCGCTGTGCCGTGGGGCCAAGCGACCACAGACCCAGCTCTGAACTGGATCCTAGCACACGGAGACGGGGAGCAGGGAGATGCCTGGGTTTTGGCAGAGCCCAACAGCTCCATGCCAAGGGCAGAGGCAGCTGCAGGACTCCAGCCCCCCCTCTGCAAAGGGAAAGGACAAACCAAGGACCAGGAGCCTGGGCGTCCTTCCCAGGTAAACAGGGACAGGGCAAAGACCAGGAACTGGCAGTGCCAGGGAGCAGAGAGTGACAGAGCCCAGGCCAGACCCTGGCAAACCAGGCTGAGCACCTGGGGAAGGGGCGCCAGTGGCACCCCAAAGGCTGTCGGGGAAGCAGAGCACATCCCATGGGGTCTCCCCACAACAGGGAAGGCTGTTCCCGTGCTGGGATTAGAGAAGAGCTCCAGGGAGACCTTAGAGCAGCTCCAGTGCCTGAAGGGGCTGCAGGGAAGCTGGAGAGGGGCTTGGGACAAGGGATGTAGGGCCAGGCCAAGGGGAATGGCTTTAACCTGCCCGAGGGGAGACTGAGCTGAGCTCTCAGGCAGAAGCTCTTCCCTGGGAGGGTGCTGAGGCGCTGGCACAGGGTGCCCAGAGAAGCCTGGGGCCACCGCAGTGACCCGGCCCAGCCCGCCAGGAGGAGGGGACATTCCCAGGGGATCACCTCTCGTTCTTCTCCCTCAGCTCCTCCATCTCCTTGGGCTCCAGCTGGTCAGCAGCGTGCTTCTCATTGAGCAGGGCCAGGCGGTCGATCCGCTGCTGCATGAGGCTGATCTGAGCCTCTGGGGAGGGGGAGAACAGGCCCGTTACCCCCTGCAGACCCCCCCAGTGCCCGGGGTGGGGGGGGTCGTGTCCATCTGTGCCTCCCTATGGGAGAGGAGCCACCGCATGGAAACCCTCTGCAGTGGGAGGTGGATGAGCTGGGCTCCGCTGGGTCTGCCAGCACGGACCTGAGCACGGGCTCCAGCCGAGCCCCAGAGCCCCCCCCCCCCGATCCCAGGATGCCCCCTAAGGGCCTGACCCTTCTCCGTGATGAGTTTCCGGTTCTCTGCCAGCTCCACCTCCAGCTCATCCCGGTTTTCCCGCTCCGCAGCCAACTGCTTCTTGAGGCGCCGCAGCTGGAACTGGGGGGTCTGCATGATGTCCCCCATGGGCGAGGAGGGGGCCCCGGGCAGGACACTGCAGAGGGACACCAGAGCCCCTTGAGAGCCAGCGCCCTTCAAGCACAGCCTGGGTCTCCCAGGCCCACCCCAGGACAGGGAAGGGCCTCAGCAGCTTGGGGCAGGGTCTGTGCTCATCAGCCAGGCGCAAAGGAGCCAGTCCCAGCCCAGCTTCATCCCGCCCATGGCACATCCCAGCTTCATCCCACTGCACATCCCAGCTTCATCCCGCCCATGGCACATCCCAGCTTCATCCCACTGCACATCCCAGCTTCATCCCACCCACTGCACATCCCAGCTTCATCCCACTGCACATCCCAGCTTCATCCCGCCCATGGCACATCCCAGCTTCATCCCACTGCACATCCCAGCTTCATCCTGCCCATCACACATCCCAGCTCCATCCCACCCATCACACATCCCAGTTCCATTCTCCCCATCACACATCCCAGCTTCATCCCGCCCATGGCACATCCCAGCTTCATCCCACTGCACATCCCAGCTTCATCCCACTGCACACCCCAGCTTCATCCCACTGCACACCCCAGCTTCATCCCACTGCACACCCCAGCTTCATCCCACTGCACACCCCAGCTTCATCCCACTGCACACCCCAGCTTCATCCCACTGCACATCCCAGCTTCATCCCACTGCACATCCCAGCTTCATCCCACTGCACATCCCAGCTTCATCCCACTGCATATCCCAGCTTCATCCCGCCCATGGCACATCCCAGCTTCATCCCACTGCACATCCCAGCTTCATCCTGCCCATCACACATCCCAGCTTCATCCCATCTCACATCCCAGCTTCATCCCACTGCACATCCCAGCTTCATCCCATCCCACATCCATCCCACTGCACATCCCAGCTTCATCCCACTGCACATCCCAGCTTCATCCTGCCCATCACACATCCCAGCTCCATCCCAGCACACATCCCAGCTTCATCCCATGGCACATCCCAGCTCCATGCCATCACATATTCCAGCTCCATCCCATCACACATCCCAGTTTCATTCTCCCCATGGCACATCCCAGCTTCATCCCATGGCACATCCCAGCTCCATGCCATCATATATTCCAGCTCCATCCCATCCCATATTCCAGCTTCATCCTATCACACATCCCAGCTTCATCCCATGGCACATCCCAGCTCCATCCCAGCACACATCCCAAGCTCCATCCCATCACATATTCCAGCTCCATCCCATCACACATCCTAGTTTCACTCTCCCCATCACATTTCCCAGCTCCATCCCATCACATATCCCAGCTCCATCCCATCACACATCCTAGTTTCATTCTCCCCACTGCACATCCCAGCTCCATCCCATCACATATCCCAGCTCCATCCCATCACACATCCTAGTTTCATTCTCCCCATCACACATCCCAGCTCCATCCCATCACACATCCCAGTTTCATTCTCCCCATGGCACATGCCAGCTTCATCCCATGGCACATCCCAGCTTCATCCCATGGCACATCTCAGCTCCATCCCATCACACATCCTAGTTTCATTCTCCCCATCGCACATCCCAGGTTGAGCCGGAGCCGATTCCTGAGGTCTCTGTGCCCTCAGCTTCCTCTCCAGGTCCCAACCCACCGTGCCCATTCCCACCGGAGCCAGGGCACGTACCTGTTGGTGCTGGAGGAGGAGGAGGAGGATGAAGCAATCTTCTGCAGCTCCAGGAAACGCACCTGTGGGAAGGGCGGCAGCGGGGAATGCTCCTCGGAGCTGCTGCCGGATAAGGACGGCGGGGCTGGAAAGAACAAGGGAGAAGAGGGATTGGCATGGCCAGAGCAGCAGGGAGGGTCGAGCAGCGAGAATTCCCACGGGATGGATCAAGCCAGCTGAGGAAGCCATAAACCTGCTGTACATCCACATCCACCCCGGGAAGGCAGCACGTGCACCAGGTGGGAATAGCCCAGGGGGAATAAGGCAGCTCAGCCCTGGGCTGCGGGGAGCTGGGGGGGGTTTGGAACCATAAATAGAGGGAAAACTCCACTGGGTTTAGGCTCTGGAAGAGACTGATCCGTGCTGAAGGGGCGCTGCCGGCATGGAGCTGAGCAGGAAGGTGCCAGCAGTGCCGAGCACTCACAGTGCCATGGAATCCTGGGATGGGTCAGGATGAAGGGACCTTAAAGCTCCTCCATTCCCAACCCCTGCCACGGGCAGGGACCCCTTCCATAGAGCAGCTTGCTCCAAGCCCCTGTGTCCAACCTGGCCTTGAGCACTGCCAGGGATGGGCAGCCACAGCTTCTCTGGGCACCCTGTGCCAGCGCCTCAGCACCCTCCCAGGGAAGAGCTTCTGCCTCAGAGCTCAGCTCAGTCTCCCCTCGGGCAGGTTAAAGCCACTGCAGGAGGACACCTTCCCCATCCCACCCTGCTGGGGCCGGTGCTGGGGCTCAGGCAGGGGCCGGTGCTCACCCTTCCTCTGCAGGAACAGCTCCAGGTTCTCACTCAGGCTCTCCTCGTTGTCCAGCACGAACCTGAGGATCGCTGCCAGCTCCACCTGCGCCGGGAGGAGCCATGGGGTGAGCTCGGCCGCAGCCCCCACGGCAGCCCCAGGGCACCCCACGCTCTGCTGTGCACCGCGGCACCCACCCTGTACCCTCCCTCGGGGGTCCCGGAGCAGCAGGGGCAGCTCTGGGGGACCCCCACAGGGCACCTCCGCTTCCCAGGGGATGCAGAGGGAATCACCTGGGTCTCGTAGTCGAACTCGCTCCAGTCCGCAGGGCTCCTGCAGCTCATGGACGCATGGTACAGGAGCAGCACGGCCACCTGCAGCGAGCAGGGACCCGTCACCCCCTGCCCCGGCACCAGCGCCCCACAGCCAGCACCGGTGCCCGCGCTTACCTTGGCCAAGGCCAGCTCCTCTCCCTCCAGCAGCTGCTGCGCCGGGATCAGGCTCTCCGGGGCCGATTTGTGCTTGCAGTGCTCTGCAATGGGAAGCAGCATTCCCATTCCCACCGGAGCCCCGGCCGCTGGGAACGCTGCCCACGGCATCCCCGGGGAGCTGCGCTTGGGCTGGGGACCCCGTGGCGTGTCCCCGAGGAGAAGGGGCTGAGGGAATCTGCAGGGCACTTCCCACCTCCCCCCCGCCCCGCATCCTGCCGCGGGTGAAGGTTTTCCAGTGGGATTTAAGCAGGCTGAGGCCGGAGAGCAGGCTGGGAATGCTGCCTCAGAGCAGCACCACCGGCACCCAACCTCTCCCTGCGCGCTCCGGCGAGGATTCCCAGTGGGAAGTTCCCCTCCTGCGGGATCGGGGCAGCCTGGACACGGTGCGGGGCGATGGGGACGCAGGAGCAGAGCCCCGGGGGCCGAGGGCAGCTCTTACTGTGCAGGAAGGCGCAGATGAAGCTGATCCTCTGCGGCAGCGCCTGCTCCAGCGCCGATTCCGCGTCCTCGCTCCGGAGCCTGGGACACAGCAGGGACCGGGGGGAGCTCAGCCCGAGCAGAGCCAAAGCCGAGCACACGGGGCCATGGAGGCAGCCCCCAGCCCGGCCGGATCAGCGCCGGAACGGTGCCGCTTCCTCCTCCACGCCACGGAGCTGGCAGCGGCCCCGGCAGCGGGAGGCACCGCAGGGGGACGCTGGCAGGGCCGGCAGCGGCTCCTAACACCCCCCCTCAAAGGCTGCTCCTCAGCCCTGCCCCAGCCTGGTGCTGCTCTGGCACCGCTGGCGACTCCCAGAGCCGGGGCTTGGCTCGGGGACAGCACCGGGAGAGGATTCCCGCAGCCCCACGGGACTCCTGGGGCCGGGGAGCTCCCCGGCTGCCTCCCGCCCAGCTTATCGGGATGTGCTCAGGAGCAGGCACCGCCTGCGCCCGCTGCCGCGGAGCCGGGAGATTAACGAGAGCCTCCTAAATATAACCCGGAGCTGGCGGCCGCCTCCTGCCGCCCAGCGCAGCCCGGCCCCGGGCTCCCCTTACACCGGGTAATTATAGCAGGCAGCACCGGCCGGGAGCCATCCTGCCCTGCCCACGGCACGGATCGTGGGGTGGGCTGGGATGAAGGGACCTCAAAGCTCCTCCAGCTCCAGCCCCTGCCCCGGGCAGGGACCCCTTCCATAGAGCAGCTTGCTCCAAGCCCCTGGGTCCAACCTGGCCTTGAACACTGCCAGGGATGGGGCAGCCACAGCTTCTCTGGGCACCCTGTGCCAGCGCCTCAGCACCCTCCCAGGGAAGAGCTTCTGCCTAAGAGCTCAGCTCAGTCTCCCCTCGGGCAGGTTAAAGCCATTCCCCTTGGCCTGGCCCTACAGGCCCTTGTCCCAAGCCCCTCTCCAGCTTTCCTGGAGCCCCTTTAGGCACTGGAGCTGCTCTCAGGTCTCCCCTTCATGCAGCAGAGGGGCAGGATCCCCTCCCTGAGCTGCTGCTCACACTCTGGGGGTGCACCCAGCACACGGGGGGTTCTGGGCTCAAGCGCACCCTGAAGCTGGGTCATGGGGAGCTCCTCCTCACCCAACACCCCAAGTCCTTCTCCTCAGGCTCCATCCCACTGCCCCAGTCTGTTTGTGCTGGGGTTGCTCAATCCCCTGTTCAGGACCATTCTTCCCCTCCAGCTCCACAGGACACACATCCGGAGCAGAGCACCCTGTGTTCTCTCTCCCATGCCCAGGACAGCTCAGGCTCTAATTGCTTTTGCTCATGGACAAGGAACGTGGCTCCTGACGGACACGTTCCTCCCATCCCTGTTTGGCCACCTCAGGTCCTGGGACGGAGCAAACAGGCTCCAGCCTGCCTGTATCACCCTGGGGATCAGCCCAATGTCCCCAGAGAACCACAGGGGTCCTGGGGGTGGGAGCTGTGGTGCTTTTCCAAAGCTTCCCCAGCATCCCAACACTGCAGCTCAGGAAAACTTCCTGGTTTTCCTCACCTGAGCAGTCCTTACAGACATAAAGCACTTCCCAAGCACCTGATGCCACAGGGAGCCTCGAGGGACAGAAACCCCCCCCCCAGATCCCACCCGGCTCCTCGTACTCACATTCTGTTGATGATCCGGATGAAGACGCTGCAGTCCCGGAGCTGGGACAGCTCCTGGAGGGGCTCGGAGCACACATTTGTGCTGTTCACCTACGGACGGGATGGGACGCTCAGGAGGAAGCGGGCAGCACCATTCCCTGCTGTCCCGGCTCCGGAGCAGCTCCCGTGCTGGACCACGGCATTCCAGCACTTGTGGCTGCTCAACAGGAGCCGTGAGCAAGGCCTCCCGGCAAGCACCCACCCATCGGGAGCAGCCGGGATGCGGCTGCCCCAGGGCCTGCCCCAGCCCCGATCCCTCCCCGGTGCCGGTCCCGGTGCCGGCACCTCCCGGTACTGGCGGGGGGGGGGGAGCTTTACCCAAGCGAGCAGAGCCGCGGCCCTCGCGCCGTGCAGAGGCATCCTCAGGCTCGCAGGTCACTGCCCCGACCTGCAACAGGGGAGGAGCGATGAGCACCCAGCACGCTCATCACAGCAATGGCAGCTCCTGCAGCGCCGGGAGCCGAGCCCGTCACGGCCGGATCATGGGATGGGGTTTGGGATGAAGGGAGCTGAAAGCTCCTCCGGCTCCAGCCCCTTCCATAGAGCAGCTTGCTCCAAGCCCCTGTGCCCAACCTGGCCTTGAGCACTGCCAGGGATGGGGCAGCCGCACAGGGAAGAGCTTCCCAATCCCATCCCATCTCCTGCTCTGGAAGTGCAGCCGGCACCTCCTGGGATTCAGCCCTGGTGATCGGGATCAAGAGGATCAGGACTCAAGGGAAACCATTGCTCAGGCTCCTCCTCCTCCTGCCATGCCCCATCCCTTATCCCCCATCCCAAAGCTCCCCGCCATCCCTCTGAAGAGGGATGTGAAGCCCTGCTCCGTCCTTGCGGTCCCTCTTGCCCAGGTTCCCATGCCAGGGACATCATCCCAAGGGCTCCTCCATGGCCGCCCTGGGCACCCGTGTGCTCCCGGCACAGGGGCTGCGGCTCCTCCCGCTCGTGTCCGAGCGCCGGCACCGCCAGCATTCCCAGGAAAACCCCTTCCCTCGGGAACACCCGCGCGCTTCCAAGCCCAAAGCAGCGGCAGGCGCCGGGAGCCGCGGTCCTCCGGGATGCGCGGGGGCCGGAAGCGCAGCCGCGGGTTGGGGGCCGGTCCTCGGGGAGGCTCGGTTGTAAACAAGCAGCAAAGGGCGCAGGGCAAGCACCGGCAGCGCGGGGGGAGCCACGGCAGGGACAGGGCTCCCCATGGACCCCATGGGGCCGGGAACCCACACAGCGGGGAGGAACAGGAGGGAGCAGCAGCGCCAGAGCCCCGGAGCGGCCGCTGCCTCCATCGGCTCAGCCGGGAAGCGCGGGCTCCCCGTGGGATGGATCCTTCCTCCCGCCCAGCCCCGCGGCACAACCTCAGCACCCCCCGCACCCCAACACCGCTCCCGACCCTCGCGGTGAAGCAGGGACCGGGTCCCCCGGAGCCGATGCCCGGCACTGCCCGAGCCCATCCCAGTTCCGTGCTGGCGGCACCACCGCGACCCTCGGGGCCCCCCGGGAGCCGTGACACGGGGTCGGCGCCCGGCGGGGACCGGAGCAGCGGGGAAAGCCCCAGACCCGGGCCCCGCAGCGTTACGAAACCGGCTCTCCCGGCGCCCCGTCCCGGGCCCCCCCTCCCCGCGGCCGCTCCCGCCTCCCTCCCCGCCCCGCGCCCCGGAGCGCGGCCGCCGCAGGCCCATGGTGGGGGGCAGCGCTCCCGCTCCCGCTCGGTACCGGCGCGGGGGTCCCGCGGCTCTCCCCGGGCGCAGCGGAGCGGCTCAGGCCGCCATGAGCCGCGCACAAAGGCGAAGCTGCGGTGTCGCTGGCGGGGCCGCGGGTGACGGCTCCCTCCTGGCCCCGGGCCACCTCCACGTCACCGCGCGCGTTAAAGGCGCCCGCGCTGGAGCCGGCCCCGGGCCGGGGGGGGGGGGGGGGTGCCCGGTGCAGGCTCCCGTTGAACCCGAGCCATCCCGCCCCGCTCCGGGGCCGTTCCCAACGCAGGAGCCCGGGACTCGGGGCTGGTCCCGGAGCGGTTGTGCCGGTGCAACCCCCCCCCCCCCCCCATGGCGCTGGAAGGGACGCGGTGATGGCGCCGCTCCCCCAGAGCCGGGTCCGGGCTGCGCGGGCAGGGTCGGAGCCACCGGATGGGGGAGAACGGGAGGGGGGGACGGAGCCGAAGGCGGGACCGGGGGTGGGAAGCAGCGGGACCCCCCCGGGGACAGCAGCGCGGGACCCGGAGCGGGGCTCTCCTACCGGATACGGAGGCCGGGCCGGGCCCCGGCAGCGCCGTCGTGAGGACGAGGCCGCGGCGAGCCCCGATGAAGCGGGACCGGGCAGCGCCGGGGGGTTGCGCCCATCCGGTGCGGCGGGACCCGGGGTGGGGGGATCCTCCTCGGCCCCTCCCGCGAGCACCGGGCCCGGCCACCCGCGCTAGGCCTCACCGGGGGCGGGCACCGGCGCTACGCGAGGCCTAGCACCGGAACCGCCGGGCCCCCCTCACCCCTCCCGCCCCGTGCCCGTGGGCCCCTCCCCTCCCCTCAGCCCCGCCCCCTCCGGTGCCCCCCCCTCCCTCCCGTACCGGCGCCGCCGCCGCCCGGTTCAAACAGCAGTGCCCACCCCTGCCACCTCCTCATTGGCTGCGAGACGTGTCACGTGGTTCACGGCGAGACTACAGCTCCCAGCGCGCTGTTCAGCTCTCGCGAGAGCTGGTTGCCATGGCAACAATGGCAGCGGCCAGGAAGGAGGCCTGGAGATGGGGGGGATCCTGGTGGGACGTGAGGGGGGCACGGGGGCCCCGTGAGGCAAAGGGAGCCGCGGGAGGGGGCGCTCGGGCCTCCCATGGGGGTCCCAGCCCCACTGGGGGTGTGGGGACACTCGAAGGGTACTGGAGGCTATGAGGGGGGGGATGTATATGGCTGTCAGGGGGCACCCAGAGACCCACACTGGGGCTGGGGACACGTGTGGGGCCCTGGGGGGTGTGTATGGGGCCATGCGCCAGCCAGGGGACGCCCAAAGAGGGGTTGGGGACCCCTGTGGGGCTCTGGGGATGGGGCCACTTCCCAAGCAGGGGACACCCAGAGACCCACAGTGGGGCTGGGGACCCGGGGGGGGGGGAGTCACACACAGACACCCTGGGGGCAGAAGGGCCTCGCTGTGCCCCACAGCAGATCCTGCCCCATGGCAGAGGATGCCACCACCCCCAGACCCGGGGCAGAGGATGCCACCCCCCCAGACAAGGGGGCCACATGGGGGGGTTTTGGGGCTCGTCCCTGTCCCCCCCGCCCCATGGACCCCCACTGATGCAGGAAGCAGCAGGCGCAGAGCAGGAGGTGGCCGTGCCTGTGCTCGGGTTTATCGGCTGTGCCCAGGAACAGGTAAAAAAACCCAATCCATGTAAAAACGGGGGGGTGGGGGGCAAAGGGGGGGTCAGTGCCCACCCCCCCACTGACACAGCATTCCGGCAGCATTCCCTTTGTGGTGATCCCTGCGCCAGGCCAAGCACCCCCCACCCCCGGGACCCCCGCTCTGGGGCCGGATCCCAGCGTGGGGAGAGAGGAGGAGAAGACAACGAAAAGGGGGAAATCCAACCCAAAGCGCCCCGAAGCCCAGCCCCGCGCGGCCGCGGCGCTCAGGGGATGCCGAACTGCACGACCAGCTCCTCCTTGGCGTCCACCCGGATCTGGGAGAGCGCGCTGAAGGCGTAGGCAGCTATCCGGGACACCTGCGGGACAGAGCCGTTACCCCGTGGGCAGCTCCTCTGGCTTCAAAAAGGGGCCAAAAGGGTAAAAATGGGCTTTAAAGTCCCCACATCCCAAACCGGGCTGGGATTGTGCGGCTGCCACCCCTCGGATCCCGTGCTCAGCTCTGGGCCCCTCACTCCAAGAGAGACCTTGAGGTGCTGGAGCGGGGCCAGGGCAGGAAATGGAGCTGGTGCAGGGCCTGGAGCCCAAGTGTGATGGGGAAGGGCTGAGGGACCTGGGGGGTTCAGTGGGGAGAAGAGAAGGCTCAGGGGGGACCTGATGGCTGCCTACAAGTGCCTGACAGGAGGATGGAGCCAGGAGGGGCTGGGCTCTGCTCCCAAGGAACAAGGGATGGGACAAGAGGAACCGGCCTCAAGCTGCACCAGGGCAGGTTTAGATGGAGCTGAGGAACAATTCCTGCCCCAGAGGGTGCTCAGGCATTGGAACAGGCTGCCCAGGGCAGGGCTGCAGGCACCGGCCCTGCAAGGGTTCACACCCCGTGGAGACGAGGCCTCAGTGCCATGGGGCAGCGGTGGCCGGGGGGCAATGGTTGCACTGGATGGACCTGGAGCCCTTCCCCAGCCCCACTGATCCCATGGCTCTGGGTGCTCAGGGGTGGCCCTCACCTGCTGCAGGTCTGCGAAGGGGACGGGGTCGCTGGCCAGGACCTGGTGGGGTTGGTTGGTGAGGGACGGCAGCGCCGGCGCCTTCTTCCAGTGTGTGAGGCTGGAGCTGAGCATGGCCAGGCGGGTGCTGGGGGCACCGCGGTCAGCACCACCGGCACCCAGGGGCACTGCACAGCACCCCGGGGGGCATGGGGACACCCCAAGGTGATGGGGAGCACCCCAGGGTTATGGGGGTTTCCCAGGGGGACAGGGAGCACCCCAAGGTAGATGGGGATGCCCTAGGGCTATAGGGAGCATCCCAGGGGGATGGGGGCACCCCAGGGGGATGGGGATGCCCCAAGGTGATGGGGAACACCCCAGGGTTAAGGGGGCATCCCAGGGGGATGGGGAGCACCCCAGGGGGATGGGGAGCACCCCAGGGTTAAGGGGGCACCCCAGGGGGATGGGGATACCCCACGGGGATAGGGAGCACCCCAGGGTTATGGGGGTACCCCAGGGGCACGGGGAGCACCCCAGCCCCACCTGTACTGCCGTGCCCGGTCCATGTACTCGTGCTGCTCCATGCCCTGCGAGTCCGCAGCCGAGACGTCGATGATGTTGCTGGGGAGCAGCACGGAGCAGGTCCCATCATGGGCTCCAGGCTCCCCCCCCCACGCTAGCACCCCAAAATCGACATCTTGGGGATGGTTTGAGCTCCATGGGTGACTCAGACCCCCCTGTATGGGCTGGGGATGAGCCCCATGCATATGGGGACACACACAGCCCCCCACTGAGCACCATGAGCAACCCTAAGTCCCTCCTATATGGGCTGGGGACAGCCCCCATGCCTATTGGGGTGATTCCCCCTCCCTAAAGAGGACACAGAGCCCCCAAACTCCCTCTGCACCCTCAAACACCCATTCCATCCCCCCAATCACAGCGAGAGGCCCCCAGCCCAGCACCCCCAGCATCACCCTGCACCCAGGGGCTCCCTTTGGTGTCCCTGTGGGGCACAAACCAGAGGGAAGGGACATTGAGGGGGGGAACAGAAGCAGCTCCCCCTTCCCTTTGGCACCTCTGGGACCCACAGTGGGGGTGGCCCAGGGCCACGGCACCGGGTGGTGATGGCACGGGGGGGCTGTGGCGATGGCAGGGGCTCACATGGCGGTCTTGGCGAGGATGGAGGAGAGCATGGCCTGCTCATCCGTGCGTGCCGAGGGCAGGTTGTGGTAGCTCTGCTCGGCCCCGTTCAGCACCTTGTTGGGGGGGCTGGGGTCCGGCTCCAGCAGCCGCTTCGTCTCCTCCTCCTGTGGGAATGGGGAGGGGTGGTCATGGATCATGGAAAGGGCTCGGGGTGAAGGAAGCTTGGGGTCCTCCACCCCAACCCCTGCCCCGGGCAGGGACCCCTTCCATAGAGCAGCTTGCTCCAAGCCCCTGTGTCCAACCTGCCCTTGAGCACTGCCAGGGATGGGGCAGCCACAGCTTCTCTGGGCACCCTGTGCCAGCGCCTCCGCACCCTCCCAGGGAAGAGCTTCTGCCTAAGAGCTCAGCTCAGTCTCCCCTGGGGCAGGTTAAAGCCATTCCCCTTGGCCTGGCCCTACAGGCCCTTGTCCCAAGCCCCTCTCCAGCTTCCCTGCAGCCCCTTCAGGCACTGGAGCTGCTCTCAGGTCTCCCCAGAGCACAGCAGAGGGGCAGGATCCCCTCCCTGAGCTGCTGCTCACGCTCTGGGTGCACGCAGCACACGGGGGGGTTCTGGGCTCCAGCGCACCCTGAGGCTGGGTCATGGGGGGCTCCTCCTCACCCGGTTCCTGCACCCGCAGCCCCGCAGGGTGACACCGCCCCCTATAGCCCCCCATAGCCCCCCCATGTCCCCCCCATGTCCCCCCGTGCCCCCCGGCCCCACCTGCTCCGAGGCCTCTCCCTCACTGCTGTAGCAGCAGCCCATGGCGACCGCCGGCACCACCACCGGCTCCGGCAGGGGGCGCGCCGCGCCGCTCACGTGACAGCGCCTGGCCCCCGTGACACAACATTGGGTCACGTGGGGGCACGGACAGCCAATAGGAGCGCAGGAATCGTCGTCTTCCTGCTTCCGGCCCCACCCCGCGTACGGGCGGTGCCGGTCACGTGACCGGCTGCCAATCAGCGCGCAGAGGGGGGGCAAAACAAGGCGCCGGGGGCGGGGCGCTCCGCCGGGGGGCGCGGTCACGTGATGAGCGGCCAATCAGCGCGCGGGGAGGTGGAGGGAGGGAGGAGCAAGGCGCAGGCCCCGCCCCGGTACGGCCGCCGTCACGTGACCGGTTCCTCGGGCGCGCGCGGGGCGGTGCCACGTGACGTTAGGGGGTGGGGGGGAAGGGAGGGGGAGAAAGGTTGCGCTCCCGCGTGGGCGGTGTCACGTGGCACGGAGCGCGCGTGCGCGATCACGAGGCTCTGCTTCCCCCACTGCCGTCATTGGCCCCCATTCAGCCCCATTGACCCCTATTGCCCCCATCAACCCCAATGACCCCATTGGCCCCCATTAACCCCAATGACCCCATTGGCCCCCACTGATCCCATTGACACTATTGGCTCCCATTGCCCCCATTGCCCCAATGACCATTGACCCCAATGACTCCATTGGCCGCATTGGCCCCATTGACCACAATGACCCCATTGACCCCAACGACCCCAATGACCCCATTGGCTCCCATTGACCCCATTGGCCTGCATTGACCCCCATTGCCCCCCTTGACCACAGTGTACCCATTGTCACCATTGAGCCCCATTGCCCCCATTGAGCCCCATTGCCCCCATTGACCCATTGCCCCCATTGACCACAATGACCCCATTGGCCCGCATTGACCCCTGTTGCCCCCCTTGACCACAGTGCACCCATTGCCCCCATTGAGCCCCATTGCCCCCACTGCCCCCATTGACCACAATGACCCCATTGGCCTGCATTGACCCCGTTGCCCCCCTTGACCACAGTGCACCCATTGCCCCCATTGAGCCCCATTGACCCCCATTGCCCCCATTGACCACAATGACCCCATTGGCCTGCATTGACCCCCATTGCCCCCCTTGACCACAGTGCACCCATTGAGCCCATTGCCCCCAATGACCCCATTGCCCCCACTGACCACAATGACCCCATTGGCCCGCATTGACCCCGTTGCCCCCCTTGACCACAGTGCACCCACTGCCCCCATTGAGCCCCATTGACCACAATGACCCCATTGGCCCGCATTGACCCCCATTGAGCCCCATTGCCCCCATTGACCACAATGACCCCATTGGCCTGCATTGACCCCGTTGCCCCCCTTGACCACAGTGCACCCATTGCCCACATTGAGCCCCATTGCCCCCCATTGACCCCACTGACATAAGGAAAGCAAGTGCCTGGAAGCCATAGGGTTAAGACGCTTCACCCTTCCCTTAGGTGCCAGCTGCAGCCCAAGCTCTGTGCTGTGGGGCTGGGGTGCGACACCCGCCCTCAGCAGCCTTCCCCACAAGAGGGAACCCGCTCCTTCCACCCTCCCCATCCCGGGCCGGTTGGGGCAGAGCCCCCCGCACACCCTCCAGCCCGGCGGGGTTTGGGGGCTGAGCCCTACCGGCGCCCACCGGAGGGGAGGCGGCTGATGGTAACGAGCGCCTGAGGCAATTGGAATAGCCCCGCCCCTCCCTGGGAACCCTCATGAATATTCATGTCTGTGTAACCAACACCGGTGCTGGGGCCCTGGGGTGAGAGGCGGGAGGAGCGATCCCCGCTCGCACCCAATGAACAGCCCCTGCTTTGTGATGCCCCCTGAGCTGGGGGGCTGACCCCGGGCTGCGGGGGGGTCCCTGAACCCTCCTGAGCCCCCCAAAACCTGCTCCTGTCACCCTGCACCCCAAAACCTGCACCTCCAAACCTGCACCCAAAACCTGCACCCCAAAACCTGCACCTCCAAAACCTGCACCCCCAAACCTGCACCTCCAAAACCTGCACCTCCAAAGCTGCACCCCCAAAACCTGCACCCCAAAACCTGCACCTCCAAAGCTGCACCCCAAACCTGCACCCCAAAACCTGCACCTCCAAAACCTGCACCTCCAAAACCTGCCCCTCCAAACCTGCACCCCCCAAACCTGCACCCCCAAACCTGCACCCCAAAACCTGCACCCAAAACCTGCACCTCCAAAGCTGCACCCCAAAACCTGCTCCTGCCACCCTGCACCCCAAAACCTGCACCTCAAACCTGCACCTCCAAACCTGCACCTCCAAACCTGCACCTCCAAAACTGCACCCAAAACCTGCACCCCCAAACCTGCACCCTCCAAACCTGCACCCCCAAACCTGCACCTCCAAAACCTGCACCTCCAAAGCTGCACCCGCAAACCTGCACCCCAAAACCTGCACCTCCAAAGCTGCACCCCAAAACCTGCACCCCCCAAAGCTGCACCCCAAAACCTGCACCCCAAAACCTGCACCCCCAAAGCTGCACCCCAAAACCTGCACCCCAAAACCTGCACCCCAAAACCTGCACCTCCAAAGCTGCACCCCAAAACCTGCACCCCCAAACCTGCACCCCCCAAAGCTGCACCCCAAAACCTGCACCCCAAAACCTGCACCCCAAAGCTGCACCCCAAAACCTGCACCCCAAAACCTGCACCCCCAAAGCTGCACCCCAAAACCTGCACCCCAAAACCTGCACCCCCAAAGCTGCACCCCAAAACCTGCACCCCAAAACCTGCACCCCCAAACCTGCACCTCCAAACCTGCACCTCCAAACCTGCACCCAAAACCTGCTCCTGCCACCCTGCACCCCAAAACCTGCACCCCAAACCTGCACCCCCCAGCTGCACCCCCAAACCTGCACCTCCAAACCTGCACCTCCAAACCTGCACCTCCAAAACCTGCACCCAAAACCTGCTCCTGCCACCCTGCACCCCAAAACCTGCACCCCCAAAAATGCATCCCCAAACCCGCACCCCCCAAACCCGCACCCCCCGGTCCCAGCCCCCCCAGCCTGGCCCCACTCCGCGGTAACCGGAGCTGGAGCCGCGGCTCCATCAATTATTGAGAGCGGCGGCAGCGCCGGAGCCCAGCACAGAGAGATCCCGGTCCCCATCCTCCATCCTGGTCCCCATCCTGGTCCTGATCCTGGTCTCATCCTGGTTCCTGATCCTGGTCCTCATCCTGGTCCTGGTATTGATCCCTGACCCGGTCCTGGTCCTGATCCTGATCCTGGTACTGATCCTGACCCGTACTGATCCTGATCCCCATCCTGGTCCTGATCCTGACCCGGTCCTGGTCCTGATCCTGATTCTGATCCTGACCCAGTCCTGATCCTGGTCCTGATCCTGGTCCTGATCCTGATTCTGGTCTAGTCCTGATCCTGGTCCCCATCCTGATCCTGATCCCGGTCCTGATCCTGATCCTGACCCAGTCCTGATCCTGATTCTGGTCCTAGTCCTGATCCTGGTCCCCATCGTGATCCTGATCCCAGCTCTTCATCCTGATCTCGCTCTCAACAGCACCAACTGCTCTCGATCCTTCTCCTGATCCCAGCCTTCCTTGAGATCCTGATCCCTGATCCCAGCTCCTGATCCTGATCCCGACAGCACCGAGTGCTCCTGATCCTGATCCTGATCCCGACAGCACCGAGTGCTCACAGTCCTGCTCTTGATCCCAGCCTTCGGAGACATCCTGATCCCAACAGCCCAGAGAGATCCCGATCCTGATCCTGCTCCTGATCCCGACAGCACCGAGTGCTCCTGCTCCTGATCCCGACAGCACCGAGTGCTCCTGATCCTGATCCTGCTCCTGCTCCTGACAGCACCGAGTGCTCCCGATCCTGATCCTGATCCCAACAGCACCGAGAGATCCCGATCCTGATCCTGATCCCGACAGCACCGAGTGCTCCCGATCCTGATCCCGATCCCGACAGCACCGAGTGCTCCCGATCCTGATCCCGATAGCACCGAGTGCTCCGGATCCTGCTCCCGATCCCGACAGCACCGAGTGCTCCCGATCCTGATCCCGATCCCGACAGCACCGAGTGCTCCCGATCCTGATCCCGATCCCGACAGCACCGAGTGCTCCCGATCCTGATCCCGATCCCGACAGCACCGAGTGCTCCCGATCCTGATCCCGATCCCAGCCTTCGGAGAGAGATCCTGCTCCTGCTCCTGCTCCTGCTCCTGCTCCCGATCCTGCTCCCAGTCCCTGCTCCCAGCATCCTGCCCATTCCCAGCCTCCTGCCCGCAGCCTGGGACCAGGTACGTGCCCCCCCGCCCCTTGCTGCACCCGGGGACCCCCAAGCCCCCGGGTGTGGGTGCAGGGGCAGGATCTGGGGGGTGGGGGGCAGGCTGGGGGGCACTGGTGTGGGGAGGAGGCTCTGCAGGGGTGCAGAGCACTGCAGCTCATGGCACAAATGATGCCTGTGGGGCAGTGTTTGCTATGGGGCTGTGTTTGCTATGGGGCTGTGTGTGTCTATGGGGCTGTGTTTGCTATGGGGCTGTGTGTGTCTATGGGGCCGTGTTTGCTATGGGGCTGTGTTTGCTATGGGGCTGTGTGTGGCTATGGGGCTGTGTGTGGTCTATGGGGCTGTGTTTGCTATGGGGCCGTGTTTACTATGGGGCCGTGTTTACTATGGGGCCGTGTTTGCTATGGGGCTGTGTTTGCTATGGGGCTGTGTGTGGCTATGGGGCTGTGTTTGCTCTGGGGCTGTGTTTGCTCTGGGGCTGTGTGTGGCTATGGGCTGTGTGTGTCTATGGGGCTGTGTTTGCTCTGGGGCTGTGTGTGGCTATGGGGCTGTGTTTGCTCTGGGGCTGTGTTTGCTATGGGGCTGTGTGTGTCTATGGGTCTGTGTTTGTATGGGGCTGTGTTTGCTCTGGGGCTGTGGTTGCCTGGGGCTGTGTGTGGCTATGGGGCTGTGTGTGGCTATGGGTCTGTGTTTGCTCTGGGTCTGTGTTTGCTATGGGGCTGTGTTTGCTCTGGGGCTGTGTTTGCTATGGGGCTGTGTGTGTCTATGGGTCTGTGTTTGCTATGGGGCTGTGTTTGCTCTGGGGCTGTGTTTGCTCTGGGGCTGTGTTTGCTCTGGGCTGTGTGTGTCTGTGGGTCCATCCGTGGCTCTCCCCCAGTGCAGCCCCATGGTGTCGGTGGCCATCGCGCTGGCGTTTGTGCCGCTGGTGCTGGCGCTGGCGCTGCGCTCCCGGCACTATGCGGTGCTGCTGGCGCGGGTGGCGCTGGGCTGGCTGCGGACCGGCTCAGCTCCGCACCGCGCGAGCACCGCGCCCTCCAGTACCTGCTGACGCACGCGGTGCCCGGCGACCCCCGCCACGTGCTGCTCACCCTCGACCAGTGAGCCGCCGCTGCGAGCACCTCAGCTGCGTGGGGCCCGACAAAGGTCAGCACCGGCGGCAACGGCGCGGGCACGGCACCACTGGCATGGCCATGGCATCATTGACATGGCCACAGCACCATTGACATTGCCACGGCATCATTGGCATGGCCACAGCACCATTGACATTGCCACGGCATCATTGGCATGGCCACGGCATCATTGACATGGCCACAGCACCATTGACATTGCCACGGCATCATTGGCATGGCCACGGCATCATTGACATGGCCACAGCACCATTGACATTGCCACGGCACCAGTGGCATGGCCACAGCCCCATTGACATGGCCACGGCATCATTGGCATGGCCACAGCACCATTGACATTGCCACGGCATCATTGGCATGGCCACAGCACCACTGAGATGGTTATGGCATCATTGTCATGGCCATAGCACCATTGACATGGCCATGGCATCATTGAAATGGTTATGGCATCATTGTCATGGCCATAGCACCATTGACATGGCCATGGCATCATTGACATGGCCATGGCATCATTGACATCATTATGGCATCATTGTTATGGCCACAGCACCATTGACATGGCCATGGCACCATTAATACGGCCATGGCACCATTAACACGGCCATGGCACCATTAACACGGCCATGGCACAATTGACATGGCCATTGCACCACTAATATGGCCATGGCACCATTGACATGATCACGGCATCATTGACATGGACATGGCACCATTAATATGGCCATGGCACCATTAATATGGCCATAGCATCATTGACATGGCCACAGCACCATTGACATGGCCTTGGCACCATTAACACAGCCATAGCACCATTGACATGGCCATGGCACCATTAATACAGCCATAGCACCATTGACATGGCCATTGCACCACTAATATGGCCATGGCACCATTGACATGATCACGGCATCATTGACATGGCCACGGCACCATTAATATGGCCATAGCATCACTGACATGGCCATGGCACTCTTGACACGGCCATGGCACCATTGATGTGGCCATGGCACCATTAATATAGCCATGGAATCATTGACATGGTCACACCATGGCCCATGGCGCCGCTACAGCATCGTCGTTACGGCCATGGCGCTGTTAGTGTGGCTGAGACCCTGTTGACACGGCCACAGTACCACTGGCACGGCCATGGCACTGTTGGTATGGTCCTGGCACCATCAACATGGCCATGGCACCACTGCCATGGCTGTGACACCATTGGTGTAGCCACAGCATCACTGCCATGGTCGTGATGCTGTCGGCACAGCCGCGGCACTGCCGACATGGCCTTGGCACCATTGGCACGGCCATGGCACCGCCACCACAGCCCCACGCCAGGACCACAGCCCCACATCCCCACACCGCACGGTGCCACCGGGAAGCCCTGTCCCTGCTGGTCACTGCCCCCATCACCTGCTCCCGCTGGCAATGGGATCGGCGTCACCATCCCCTGTCCCCACTGACGCCGGTGCCCTCGCCTGTCCCCGTTGCCGCAGGGCGCGTGGTGGAGCGGGTGCTGAGCGCGCGGAGCCCGCGGCGGGTGCTGGAGCTGGGCACATCCTGCGGGTACGGGGCCGTGCTGCTGGCGCGGGTGCTGCCCCCGGAGCGCGGCTGCTGACGGTGGAGAGGGACCCACAGCGAGCGGCCATGGCGGAGAAGGTCATCCGGCTGGCGGGGTTCGATGAGAGCACCGTGAGCAATGGGGTGGGGTGGCAATGGGGTGGCAATGGGGGGGGGAATGGGATGGGAATGGGATGGGAATGGGCAGGAGGGTCATCCGGCTGGCGGGGTTCGATGAGAGCACCGTGAGCAATGGAGTGGGGTGGCAATGGGGTGGCAATGGGGTGGGAATGGGATGGGAATGGGCAGGAGGTCATCCGGCTGGCGGGTTCGATGAGTGCACCATGAGCAATGGGGTGGGTGGCAATGGGGTGGGAATGGGGGGGAATGGGATGGGAATGGGTGGGAATGGGATGGGAATGGGAATGGGGTGGGAATGGGGTGGGAATGGGCAGAGGTCATCCGGCTGGCGGGGTTCGATGAGAGCACCGTGAGCAATGCGGTGGGGTGGGAATGGGGTGGGAATGGGATGGGAATGGGGTGGAATGGGATGGGAATGGGCAGGAGGTCATCGGCTGGCGGGGTTCGATGAGAGCACCGTGAGCAATGGGGTAGGGTGGGAATGGGGTGGGAATGGGGGGGGAATGGGATGGGAATGGGGGGGGAATGGGGTGGGAATGGGGGGGAATGGGATGGGAATGGGATGGGAATGGCAGGAGGTCATCCGGCTGGCGGGGTTCGATGAGTGCACCATGAGCAATGGGGTGGTGTGGGAATGGGGGGGGAATGGGGTGGGAATGGGGGGGGAATGGGATGGGAATGGGGGGGGAATGGGCAGGAGGTCATCCGGCTGGCGGGGTTTGATGAGAGCACCCTGAGCAATGGGGTGGGGGGGCAATGGGGTGGGAATAGGGGGAGAATGGGGATGGGGAATGGGCAGGAGGTCATCCGGCTGGCGGGGTTCGATGAGAGCACCGTGAGCAATGGGGTGGGAATGGGATTGGAATAGAGACGGGAACGGGCAGGAGGTCATCCGGCTGGAGGGGTTCAATGAGAGCACTGCGAGCACCGGGATGGGGTGGGAAAAGGATGGGAATAGGCAGGAGGTCATCTGGCTGGTGGGGTTCGATGAGAGCACTGCGAGCACTGGGATGGGAATGGGGTGGGAATAGGGGTGGGTGGTGGACAGGGTGGGAATGGGGTAGGGAGGGAATGGGTATGGGAATGGGCAGGAGAAGGTCGTTCCACTGGTGGGGTTCAATGAAAGGACTGTGAGCACAGGGATGGGATGGGAATGGGGTGGCAATGGGATGGATAGGGGCGGGTAGTGGACAGGATGGGAATGGGGTAGGGAGGGAATGGATATGGGAATGGGCAGGAGAAGGTCGTTCCACTGGTGGGGTTCAATGAAAGGACTGTGAGCACAGGGATGGGATGGGAATGGGGTGGGGGGGACAGGATGGGAATGGGAGTGGGGATGGGAATGGGCAGGAGAAGGTAGGGGACGGGCAGGGCACAGGGAGGGAACAGGTATGGAATGGGCAGGGGATGGGCAAGAAATGAGGAGGGAATGGACAGGGGATGGGATGGGAATGGGCAGGGAACAGGGAAGGGACAAGTAGGAACGGGGAGGAAAGGGGCAGAGGATGGAGAGGAATGGGCAAGCAATGGGGAGGGAATGGGCAAAAAAAAGGGAAGGGAATGGACAGGGGATGGGATGGGAATGGGCAGGGAACAGGGATGGGACAAGTTGGGAACGGGGAGGAAATGGGCAGGGAATGGACAGAGGATGGGGAGGGAATGGCAGGGAATGGGAGGGAATAGGCAAGAAATGGGGAGGGAATGGGATGGGAATGGGCAGGGAACAGGGAAGGGACAAGTAGGGAACGGGGAGGAAATGGGCAGGGAACGGGCAGAGGATGGAGAGGGAACGGGCAGGGGACAGGCAGGGAATGGGCAGGGAACGTGCACGGAGCGGGCAGGGGAAGGGCTGGAAGTGGCAGAGGCAGGAGCAGGAGCAGAGCAGGAGCAGGGGAAGGGGCAGGAGCAGGAGCAGAGCAGGAGCAGGAGCAGGAGCAGGAGCAGGAGCAGGAGCAGGAGCAGGAGCAGAGCAGGAGCAGGAGCAGGAGCAGGAGCAGAGCAGGAGCAGGAGCAGGAGCAAGAGCAGGAGCAGAGCAGGAGCAGAGCAGGAGCAGAGCAGGAGCAGGAGCAGAGCAGGAGCAGGAGCAGGAGCAGGAGCAGGAGCAGAGCAGGAGCAGGAGCAGAGCAGGAGCAGGAGAGGAGCAGGGCAGGAGCAGAGGGAGCCGGGGCAGGGGCAGAGCAGGAGCAGGAGCAGAAGCAGGAGCAGAGCAGGAGCAGGAGCAGAGCAGGAGCAGAGCAGGAGCAGGAGCAGAGCAGGAGCAGGAGCAGGAGCAGAGCAGGAGCAGAGCAGGAGCAGGAGCAGAGCAGAGCAGGAGCAGAGCAGGAGCAGGAGCAGAGCAGAGCAGGAGCAGAGCAGGAGCAGGAGCAGGAGCAGGAGCAGGAGCAGCAGGAGCAGGAGCAGGAGCAGGAGCAGAGCAGGAGCAGGAGCAGAGCAGGAGCAGAGCAGGAGCAGGAGCAGGAGCAGGAGCAGAGCAGAAGCAGGAGCGGAGCAGGAGCAGGAGCAGAGCAGGAGCAGGAGCAGAAGCAGGAGCGGAGCAGGAGCAGGAGCAGGAGCAGGAGCAGGAGCAGGAGCAGGAGCAGAGCAGGAGCAGGAGCAGGAGCAGAGCAGGAGCAGAGCAGGAGCAGAGCAGGAGCGGAGCAGGAGCAGAGCAGGAGCAGGAGCAGGAGCAGAGCAGGAGCAGAAGCAGGAGCGGAGCAGGAGCAGGAGCAGGAGCAGAGCAGGAGCAGGAGCAGGAGCAGGAGCAGGAGCAGGAGCGGAGCAGGAGCAGGAGCAGGAGCAGAGCAGGAGCAGAAGCAGGAGCGGAGCAGGAGCAGGAGCAGAGCAGGAGCAGGAGCAGGAGCAGAGCAAGAGCAGAGCAGGAGCAGAGCAGGAGCGGAGCAGGAGCAGAGCAGGAGCAGGAGCAGAGCAGGAGCAGGAGCAGGAGCAGAGCAGGAGCAGAGCAGGAGCAGAAGCAGGAGCAGGAGCAGAGCAGGAGCAGGAGCAGAGCAGGAGCAGGAGCAGGAGCAGAGCAGGAGCACGAGCAGGAGCAGAGCAGGAGCGGAGCAGGAGCAGGAGCAGGAGCGGAGCAGGAGCAGAGCAGGAGCAGGAGCAGAGCAGGAGCAGAGCAGGAGCAGGAGCAGAGCAGGAGCAGGAGCAGAGCAGGAGCAGAGCAGGAGCGGAGCAGGAGCAGGAGCCAGGAGCAGGAGCGGAGCAGGAGCAGGAGCAGGAGCAGGAGCAGGAGCAGAGCAGGAGCAGGAGCAGGAGCAGGAGCAGGAGCAGAGCAGGAGCAGGAGCAGAGCAGGAGCAGAGCAGGAGCAGGAGCAGAGCAGGAGCAGAGCAGGAGCAGAGCAGGAGCAGGAGCAGCAGGAGCAGAGCAGGAGCAGGAGCAGGAGCAGAGCAGGAGCAGGAGCAGGAGCAGGAGCAGGAGCAGGGCAGGCAGGAGCAGGAGCAGGAGCAGGAGCAGGCAGCAGGAGCAGGAGCAGGAGCAGAGCAGGAGCAGAGCAGGAGCAGGAGCAGAGCAGGAGCAGGAGCAGGAGCAGGAGCAGGAGCAGAGCAGGAGCAGGAGCAGGAGCAGAGCAGGAGCAGGAGCAGGAGCAGGAGCAGGAGAGAGCAGGAGCAGGAGCAGGAGCAGGGGAGCAGAGCAGGAGCAGAGCAGGAGCAGGAGCAGGAGCAGGAGCAGGAGCAGAGCAGGAGCAGGAGCAGGAGCAGGAGCAGAGCAGGAGCAGGAGCAGAGCAGGAGCAGGAGCAGGAGCAGGAGCAGGAGCAGGAGCAGGAGCAGAGCAGGAGCAGGAGCAGGAGCAGGCAGGAGCAGGAGCAGGAGCAGAGCAGGAGCAGGAGCGGAGCAGGAGCAGAGCAGGAGCAGGAGCAGGAGCAGAGCAGGAGCAGGAGCAGGAGCAGAAGCAGAGCAGAAGCAGGAGGCGGAGCAGGAGCAGGAGCAGGAGCAGGAGCAGGAGCAGAGCAGGAGCAGGAGCAGGAGCAGGGCAGAGCAGGAGCAGGAGCAGGAGCAGGAGCAGAGCAGGAGCAGGAGCAGGAGCAGGAGCAGAGCAGGAGCAGGAGCAGGAGCAGGGGCAGGAGCAGGAGCAGGAGCAGAAGCAGGAGCAGAGCAGGAGCAGGAGCAGAGCAGGAGCAGAGCAGGAGCAGGAGCAGAGCAGGAGCAGGAGCAGGAGCAGAGCAGGAGCAGGAGCAGGAGCAGGAGCAGGAGGCAGAGCAGGAGCAGAGCAGGAGCAGGAGCAGGAGCAGAGCAGGAGCAGAGCAGGAGCAGGAGCAGGAGCAGGAGCAGAGCAGAGCAGGAGCAGGAGCAGGAGCAGGAGCAGAGCAGGAGCAGGAGCAGGAGCAGGAGCAGAGCAGAGCAGGAGCAGGAGCAGGAGCAGGAGCAGAAGCAGGAGCGGAGCAGGAGCAGGAGCAGGAGCAGGAGCAGGAGCAGAAGCAGGAGCGGAGCAGGAGCAGGAGCAGAGCAGGAGCAGGAGCAGGAGCAGGAGCAGAGCAGGAGCAGGAGCAGGAGCAGGAGCAGAGCAGGAGCAGAGCAGGAGCAGAGCAGGAGCGGAGCAGGCAGGAGCAGGAGCAGGAGCAGGAGCAGAGCAGGAGCAGAGCAGGAGCGGAGCAGGAGCAGGAGCAGGAGCAGAGCAGGAGCAGAGCAGAGCAGGAGCAGAGCAGGAGCAGGAGCAGGAGCAGGAGCAGGAGCAGAGCAGGAGCAGAAGCAGGAGCAGGAGCAGGAGGCAGGAGCAGAGCAGGAGCAGGAGCAGAGCAGGAGCAGGAGCAGGAGCAGAGCAGGAGCAGAGCAGGAGCAGAGCAGGAGCAGGAGCAGGAGCGGAGCAGGAGCAGGAGCAGGAGCAGGAGCAGAGCAGGAGCAGAGCAGGAGCAGAGCAGGAGCAGGAGCAGGAGCGGAGCAGGAGCAGGAGCAGGAGCAGGAGCAGGAGCAGAGCAGGGAGCGGAGCAGGAGCAGAGGCAGAGCAGGAGCAGAGCAGGAGCAGGAGCAGGAGCAGAGCAGGAGCACGAGCAGGAGCAGGAGCAG